CGCGCAGACACAGTGGAATACGCCGGGGCGGTCCAGGCAGCGTCCAGAGTTGAGGCAGGGACGGCTGGCGCAGTCGTCCATGTTGACAGTGCAGAAGCGTCCGGTGAAGCCAGCAGGGCACAGGCACGAAAAACGATTGACGCCGTCCAGACAGGTGGCACCGTTCCCACATGGTTTCATGAGACAGTCGTCCACATTGGTCTCACAGCGTGGACCCATGAATCCAGCCAGACATCGACACATCAACTCTGCTGCAAAACCGTTGTCATCATCACATTGGCCGCCATTTTTACATGGAGACCTGAAGGAAACAAGACAACGGACACATGTCAAGACAGACCTCACTGTGGGTGACCTGGTACGAGTTCATCATTATTAAATAAATTTGTGGATTTCTGTGGATCTGTGATCTTGGACACACCTCTTCTTGTGGCATGGCCCCGCCTTCAGCTGACAGTGTCTGCCGTGGAAACCTTCAGGACAGAGACACGTGTAGTCGCCGTTGTCCTCCATCACACAGGACGCTCCATTCTGGCAGGGATGCTGCTGCGAGCACACGGAAAGATCTGACACACAGACACAAACAAACAATCAACGATTCATATTCCATAGAATCAATATCAGTGGCGTTGGGGATGAACTTTGACCCACCTTTGTCACAAAAGCGCCCCGCCCACCCCTCATCACAGCTGCATTGCCACGGCTGCTGACATGAGCCGTGGACACAACCAGGCATCGGTACGCAATGATCGCAGTGTTGGCCGCCCCAACCCGGGTCACACCTGAGAGAAGGACAGAAGGAACGTTGGATGGAGTACAGACGTAGACCACGAGACCTCTGAGCACACCGAGAAGACAGAGAAGCTACTCATCGGCTAACTGTTCAATTATCTCTAAGACTAACCTCAAACACTTTTGGATAACTTTTAGCTTTGACCTCTACCTGTGCTAGTTTTATTCTATTTTACCCTATTTTGCCTCTTATTTAAACACCTTGTTAACGACCGACTTGGTTCTTTTTGGTTGGCTCTTATTTAAACACCTTGGTAACGACCAGAGTAAGATTTTGCCGTGTTCCTGAGCGGGATCTCTGATCCAGGGTTTAGGACCAGACCTTGGCCTGTAAAGATTTTATAACAAACAAACAGCACACTGGTGTCTCACCGACAGACTCCCAGCTCGTCACAGTGACTGTTGGTCAGGTTACAGCCGCACTCACGTTCTGCAGAAAAGAAAAAAAAAGAAGAGGAAGGAGACACATCAGAGACAAAGGCCTTTGTTTGTTTACGCAGAACGCCGCCTGTCCCTCAGCTGTCGAGACTCACGAGTGTCTCTGGTGGGACATTAGCAGCCGACACCCTGACCTCTGACCTCTAAGATTTGCTGTGACACGTGGCAAAAGAGAGACAGACTTAGAGGAAAAGAGAGAGAGAGAGAGAGAGAGAGACCTGCTTCAACACACATCCCATCGTTTCAACTTTGACCTGTAATTTGGATTAAACAGCAACAGTGAAGTGAAGAGGGGTTATTTTCAGAGACAGACTTGTCCTCCTAACTGAAATATCAGACAGTCATAGTGACAGGTGGGAGGAGCTAAGTGTGTTAAAGTGCTCATTATTAAATCATGTGACCACAGAAAGGGGTTAGGGTCAGGGGAACACCACTTGAGTCCAGGACCTGTACCGTGACTTGGACTTGGCCACTGATGACGTTGACACAAACCTGAAACCCCAGGAATCTGACTCAGACTTGTCATCAGTGGCTTGGACCCCCAGCAGTGATGAGTCACTCAAACCTCTAGAGAGTGAATCTGACTTTGACTTCAAACTAGAGGCTTGAACTTGGACTCTATCTTTAAACCCTGGGCCACCGTGTCAGGCCGTCTCTTTGACTCCTCATACGAAAAATACTTGAACTCATATTTTCAGAAGACCTGCACATTAATTTAAAAAACACTTGAACTTATTTTTTGTGACTATTTTCAGAAGACCTGCACATTAATTTAAATCCTGAAGACTTACTCAGACTCGTCTCAAAATCCTTCTGTGATTCAGTCTCTGAATTGAAGCCCTCGACACCTGTTGAAAAAAAAACTGTCACTTAGATTCTACAACCCTACCAAACCTAGTTAAGATATCGACTTGTTTATCGAGATAAGGCATCAAATCTTTTTACATAGAGATAAAACATTGTAATGTTGTGACCTACCTTGACCTGAGGAGGGCAGCGCATGCAGGGCGATGAGAACAGCTGCAATGAAAAAGGTAGACATGGCGACTCCAGAAGAGAAAACCTGAAACAGTATCAAAATACATGAGTCTTGGACCAGCAGAGGGTTCACATCTAGGTCACATGAAAGCGCGTCCACCGCCACAGTGTGGCGATGTGTTCAGCGGGGTCCTCTATCACTGAGACCTCACATCAGGTCAGCAGCCTTTCAGTGACATCAGTGCTTTTTAAAGATGGGTCATCAAGTCTCTGAAACATCTGACACCTGATCAGCTGACCAAGTGTTGACTCTTTGATGTGGAGACCTCCGACACCTTGGTGCCACTCCACCACGAGCTCCTGCTCTCTGGATTGTATGCGGTGTCTTGTAGGTTTTGGCTGCTGGAGGTCAGAGAATGTAAAGTTGACGTGGACGATGTGTGTAGTCGGCCGTGAGCATCGTCACGTTTCGGTGAAGTGTTTGTGTGAAGTGTTGACCTCACAGTTTTAGCACAAAGCTAACAGCTTAGAGTGTAATTCTTATGCAGTCAGTTAACTATACTACTGTTTGCCTGGCTAAGGTTGATGGTTTCATTTTCTGTCCTAGTGCCAGACTAAACATACATTTCTATCTCAGCATCAGTTTCCAGCTGTATGCTGTGGTAAGCTAACAGCCCTCTTGCCTGTTTGCTAAGCAAACCTCAACGTATCCCGCTATTGTTGCTAAGCTAACATTATGTAGGCCAGACTGTCGTCATGTGACCTGCCATGTTTCCCCTCTGTACCTGCTGGACCTTGTGCCGTTACAGATGTCCATGCAGACATTGTGAAAAGACAAGAAGAGTTCCAGGTCCTAGATGTTACAGCACTGAACAGACAAGAACTGACAGGCCTGGATTACCCTGTGTTGNCTTCTGGAGACAAAGACGGTATTTTGAGGTTTCAGATTTAGTATGGAGTTGAGATTAGAACTGTGGGTGTGTTACCGTAGAGGTGAGGATTAGGATTAGGCAAACATGGGTTAGGGTTAGGATTACAGTAGGGGTTAAGGTATGTGTTATGTCTATGTTGAGTACTCACTACTGATGGAAACTACTGTGTGTGTGTGTGTGTGTGTGTGTCAGTACCAAATAAGCATAGCAACAGGTGGCTAATTTATTACTTTAACATAAACCCATTCATATCCACACACACACACACACACACAGGTTGGTCCAGCTAGTCTTGTCAGGACACTGCTTTGTCTTCCCCTTATTGGGACTGTCAGACCAAAGTCTCCACACGTACACACGTGTGTGTGTGTGTGTGTGTGCACATACACACTGATATGAGATGAAGATTACATGAAGTACAGCAGCACATGGAGGTGTGTAGTCTGCAGGGCAGCCATGTGAAACAAGTGTCGCCACTTGGTGGCACCGCAGGGTGATGGTCCAGATTAGTCGTAAACCACAAGTCCTGGACCTGATCTGGATTTTAGCAGGTCACCAACATCTTTATTATTGCAGTAATTTGCTGCAATATTAGTTAATTAGTAGTACTTTACTATTGTCATTTTGGGGAATAGGAAACATAAGTGTTAAGAATTTGTGTAAGTATTAGTAAAGTTTTAACGATATTGACCTTCGTTGTTTGACTTGACGAGACGACGCAGTTGCAGCTTCAAGCTTTAAATCATTATTAATTATAGCCATAACCATAACATGTGTATCATGTTAGTTATTTTAAGCTGCACGGATCTGTGTTCTATAAACGTTCTCGCTTCCTCACCCCCACCCTCACCCCCACCTCAGATTTTATTTGCACATGCTATCTCCTCGCCCCCACCCTCACCTCAGATTTTATTTGCACATGCTATTGTCTGAATAACAAGCAGCAGTGAAGCTGCGGATTGGACGGACAGAGTCATGTGACAGTGACAGCTACACAAAGTAGGCAAACAACACCGGCTTTCTTCTTTAATTTATAGTTATAAAGTTTTGTGTTGTCTAACTGAGCACAGCTGATGTTGTAGATTTATTAGCTTCAACTCAGAGAATCATTTTAGTAAAGGTACATTTGAGGATTTTATTGTCTTTTTTTTACCTGGTCTGTTCTGTTTGTTAGCTCGACAACGGTGGTTACTGTTTCAACTGTGACAAGAACTGTTTTGGTTGTAAATGTAAATGTCACACCAGAGCCCCTACCCTTTGTCTGTTGTTGTTTTCCTCGCAGCGTAAACATTTCTAACACTGGAGAACAGAGACAGTAGGTGGCAGTAAAGCACCTACGGGGATGCAGCGCTGCATTTTGCAGCCAAAGTAGAAGCAGGCAGACGGATGGATTTCTACCTAAAATGTTGTGTGGTTTTAACCATTTTGACACATTATTATTTGCGTAGTTTATATCACAGGACACACAACACAGACTAATGTTTGCGTTCAGTTCAATTGTAGAAGAAAAGTGGGCGTGGTCTGTGCGACGTTTGCTTGATCATACAGTGAAATGGCAGTGATGTTTCAGCTGCTCTTTAAGAAAACACCAGGCAGACGACCGTCGGCAGGGGTCAAAGGTTGAGCCATCAGCACAGACACTTCAAGTGTGTGTGTGTGAGAGTGTGTGTGTGCACTTTTAGTTTGAAGACCTGGTATTTACGCACTCTTTTTTACGCACTGTTAACCCTTTAAAATAACAACATCGTGGTATCTTTTTTTGACATGACTGCATTTACTGTCACTGCTGCTATTGTTTTAGCTCCGACTTTATTTTACTTTTTTGTCATGATCTTTTTAAAATTGTGTTTTTGGTAATAATTGATACTTTTCCTCAATGTATGAATTTTGTTTTTCCTTATTTAGTAATTTGATTGAATTTTTATTATTATTATTATTAGTAGCAGCATTTTGGAAATTCCTTTTTTTTGTCAAATTTTTTGAACGCGGTTAAAAAGTACTAGTTCCATAAGCGTTATAATCTGCACTGTGAGTTAGTAGTAAGAATAATTAATGTTATCCCTACAAATACTCAGATCAGGCATTTTTGACTAGGTTAAAAAAATTAGGTTCCACAAATACATTTCTGTCAAATATTGTTAGAGGCTGCAGTTATTTTTGACAACCAGCACAGTTACCATAACAGGCTAAGTGGATTTAGCATTAATATTCAGTAGTTATGCACAGCAGAAAGAGTAGAATTTCTGAACACCAAAAACACAGGAACAGTTTTACCTTCAGCTCCTTCTTTTGCTGCTGCTGCTCGTTCTGGCTCTGCTCTTCTGTCTACTGCTGCAGCACATTTAAACACACACACACACACACACCCACCCCCAACACACTCTCACACATACACACACACTTCACTCACACACTCCATAGGCTTCAGCCAACACACGTATATGTGTGTTCAAGGAAGGCTGCTCTGTGGAGAATCATGTGTCGATTGGACTTAAAAACAGCAGCAGGTTCTCTTCACACTGTGTCACTCAAACACCTAAACTCTCATCAACACAGTAGCTGCATGAAGACACACACACTTCTTTGTGTCTTCACACCTGTCGTGTTTCTCCTTCCACCAAAAACATCATTAACACCTCGTTGTGGTGTTTCTCGTTCTACCAAAAACATCATTAACACCTCGTTGTACATGAAGCAGGTATTTAATTAAGATCTCTGTGAAAGTGACTTTTGATTGAGAATTAAAATCTCTGTGAAGGTGACTTTTGATTGAGATGAGTTTGAATGGCGAAAAAAAAAAAAGCAAAAAATTTAACATGGAGCAAGAAAAAAATCAGAACAAGAACACTGACCAGTATTATGAAGATACACACTCCTTCATCCGTGTGTGTGTTAAAGGAAGAACCTTCTTACACATGTAGAGCCTACAAACTCACCGACTGCTAAAAATGACTCATGCCTCGTCTCTGTAGGAGGTAACTTGAAAGCACACGCTCTACTTTAGTTTACGATCCTTTTTTCTCCAGGTCAGTAATAGCATGATATTACCTTAAGGTCACTCTCCATTTATAAGGTCTCTGGACCTTGACCCTGTCTCTGTAGGTGACATTTTGCAAAGACCCCTGACTTAAAGGAGCATCTTTGAATTTGCAGTCCTGAAAGAGAGACGTGGTCCTTCTGAAGGTCAGTCGTCTTTGCTGGTATTCTGGAGGTACGTGCGTGGAGGCCTACAGCTGCATGTGTACATGTGACGTTCCAAAAACACAAACATTTTGTTTATGAAATGTCTCCATGCTGTGATTCTTTCTGGACCAGCAGTTTTAACATTTGGATGATATTTCTAATCCTGTTGCTAGATGTTTCCTCCTTCCCTCAGGACAATCCACTGGCCTCGCGTTCGTGTTTCTGCATGTTTTGCATGTCACATTAACTTTAGATCAGCAGACGCTGCTGACGCCGCACGTCCTGGCAGGTACGGACTCGTCCACATCTAAAGGCCAGGAGACAGGAAAACAAGATCCATTTCCTCTGCCCACAGTCGGAAGGTTCTGGCGTCTTTCTGACTTTCTGTGTCGTTGTTTTTTTTGTGGACATTCTGTGAACTAAGCTGTGAACGTTATTCAAAATCATGCTTCTGTCAGAGGAAGTCACAGCCCCCACCCTCTCTCCTCTGTAGAGGCAGCAGGTGGAGTTAATGTGTCATAGCTCAAATACTTCAGTACACATTGTGGGGTAAGGAGAGAGTGGGGGGTGGAGGGGGGGGTATCCTATTATGATCCACAGTCAATTATGACACCCCTCTGTTCTCCCTGAACCACAGATCCAGTTTCCTCTTGTGATGTCATCGCCATCTGAGCTGCTGCCGTGCGGTGATTGGTGCAGCATTTGAAAAACCAATCCATAACCAACAACCTGTCGCTCGGCTGGCATCTTCACAGATCATTCTGAGTATTATTGTTGCGGCTGGTTCTGTGCCGCAGTCCTCACATGTCACTGGATCTGTGTATGTGTGTGATTGTGTATCTGTGACACAATGCCTTTGTTTATCCAAGGAGAAGAATGGGGAATAGCCTTGACCCCCCCCCTCCCCCCCCCCACCAGAGCAGCTGAGCATCTCATACATGAAACTCATCTTCATTTTAAACACTACATCCAACCTCCTTGTTCCCGTCGTCCAAAGACACGACATGGAGACGTCTGAACAGTTCACACATCGGACTCTGAATCTGACTTTTTTTTTAAATCTCTCCAGTTGTTTTGTCTCTTTGGGCAGATTACCTCCAAGAATTTAAATGATTAGGAACCGGGTGTGTGGGTGGGTATGGTTCAGGAAGACGTTACGATGTCGTACATGCCCCTTATGTTGGACAGACACCGACAGCTGCTGCATGTCTCAGTCACTGTCGTGTCCTTCATTCCCATCATGGCTCTCATACCAGAGGACAGAGGAGAGCTACATTGTTGTGGAGCAGCTGGACATTGTCTTCATCTTTCTGTTCTGCAGTGCGCACGCACACACACACACACACTCATGTGTCAGGCAGCTGTGTACGTGTGTCTCTCTATCCCTGTGAGACTGTTCTGTAATAGAACGCACCCAGACCACAGTCGTTCTTCCTCAGGTGTGTAACCTAGTGATCGGTGTGTGTGTGTGTGCGTGTGTGTGTGCATGTGTGTGTGCTAGGGGTGTCATTAACAAGGGTGACTCTAACGAGCCCCTTATGAATAGAAACGTGGCCCTTGTTCAATTAACTAATTTTTAATTAAAGAGCAGGAGGATGTGGAACTGTTGCTAGGCAACCTTGGAGTCAGTATTGGATTTTTTTCTTCTTCAGTGAAATGGAAAAATGTTTTCTATTTTTTCTTCTGTCTTTTTTTCCTGTATTCATTACACCTTCAATCACATTTCACAGTTGTCATCAACGTTAAAGACTGAAGAATATGTCCAGGCTTCATCATATTGTTAATGTTAGGCATCGAGTCCATACAGAGATCTGTTCATTTTGGATCACTGTGACATGTCGGTGGTGATTTATTGATGCTTCATGTGGTCCGTGGCACAGGTTTGACTCAACAACACGTGAGCTAACGAATGGAGAAGCAGCTGATCCACCGCTACTGTTTGCTCTAATCTGTGTTTTTCTCTATGGGTTTTTGAATATACACGGTTAACAAACTCTATCTTCCACCAGATAACGGTACAACGTATATTCTTCTATAATATTGTAGACTCTCTGTGTCTCGTGACGCCCTCGCACGGTCAAACAGACTGTACGTCAGCAGCTTCCTAAAAAAAAAATCAATTACTTTACTGTGAGCGTGTGTTAACACGAAACTTCACTGTGTCATTTTTATGTTTCGTGTAAACAAACACACGCACACACGTACTTACTGCCTCCTATTGACTGTGTTAAGAATTGCACAAGCGAGTTTTGGAGTTGAAGTTCACGGCTGAAAAACCAGCCAGTTTGACTAACGTGGGTTAAATCGGATGGATGTAATAAAAAGGTAATGGTCATTTCTAGTATTCAAGACACTCGGATTATCTTAACGTCATAAACTTCACCTTCACAACGCCACGATTAAGGTATGTGACGTCAGCACGCAGGGCGTGGAAGGGGGGCTTTTGATAAAAAACGGAATTCCTTAGGATTACCCATCATGCCCCGCGGGTAAAGATGGCGACAGCTGAGCGGAGGAGATCAACTTTATCCTCTCGACTCTGAGTGTTTTTCTTGCTGCACACCGTTGCTTCTCCACTCGCTGGATGTTACCAGTTTTACCAGGAATCATTTTCCGACGGACCTGAGTTCCTGCACGGCCTCGGGTGAGTGCAGAGCCTCGCTCCCTCCCTCTTCCCCTCCCCCCGCTGGAGCAGCAGGGGTCCGGCTAAAGGTTCCTCTGCGCTCCGCCCTTCCCCGTTTTTCAGCGGCCGAGTCCCACTGCAACCAACACAGGTGAGTTAGAAACAACGGGTTAGCGCTGCTCAGGGAGCGGGGTGGAAGCTTTCTGCTGTCGGTACCGCCAGGGAATGGCAGCCGGTGAACTGGGCCACAGTCGGAGCCGAACTGCGATTACTGGTACCGGGTCCAGTTAAGGTTAATGTCGACGTAGGGTGGAGTCACACTCACAAACACACACACATTTTAACGTGCCACCCCGAACACTGAACACTCACCGTCCAGGAACGGTATTCGTGTCTGTGTTTGGACTCGACCTCTGTTGATTATTAAACCAAGCGACAGATAATCCGACAGTAAACCTTAATCGACGAATTATCTTTCTTTCAGGTGTTCGTTGCCCCTTAACAAACAAGTTGTTCGGTTCGTTGACCTGAACGGTTATCGATAATGTTGTGAGAGCGTATGCTGTATCAGAGAAACCGGCTAGCAACATTAATGCAAGAAATGACTCGATAAAACACATTGATAAAAACGTGCACACGTGCTAACCTGAACTACACATTAATTCATTTTTGCTACACATCAGTTAATGCGTGTACAACACCAACCAACCTTTAATACACATTGACTAAACTTTCTGCACTTTAATTACTACACATTTATAACACTGATTTACATATATAGTAGTATATAGTATATATAGTAGTATATATAAGTGTATACTACACACTTAAGTCTTTGCTATTCATCTTTACAGCAATCTAATAAAATGTACATATCTTCTGGTTTCTTTTTTATAACTTTATAGGGGTGAATTATTTGTCCTACCTCAATGTTTGTTGATCAACAAACATTGAGGATTTTGTTATGGTTTTTACTCAGTGATGTTTACTGTATTTCTGGGATTGGTTACTAGTCAACTACTACTAATTTTACTATAATGAAACTACAACACAACAACAATTTCTTGAATTATTGTAAAAGGACCTTGTAAGCCAGTGTTAGCCTGGAACTTTAGCTTGTACTGTGCTAGCTGTGTTAGCCTCAGTGTATTGCTTTTGGCTTTTTTTTTTTGTCTTGTTATCTGGTCCTTGTTAGGTTGTACAGTTTTAGCCTTTGAGGCCTATACATTTGTTGTCTGAGCCCTCATGTTTACCTGTTAGTCTGAATTATATGCATACCTTGTTATTTTAGCTTGGATTCTGTTTTTAGCTGTATCCTACCGGTTTAGCTTGAATCTACGGAGCCCTTCTGTCGCCCCTCGCCTCAGCAGACATGAACTCAAGGCTCCTGTTCCCTGGTCTTGGGTTTCAGGTTGTTTGAGGTCTGAAGATCACATGACCAGCAGAGGACAAGGAGGAGGATGTAGAGGAGAAGAACGAGAAGTAACTGAAAGAGGATGAAGAGATTCCTTTGCTAATTTACCAGGTCAGTTTATTCCACCTCTGTGTTTCTGTCGATTTCATTCTGCCTGAAATCATGTCACCCTCTGTAATGTCATGTGTTATGGTTTACGTCACACATGACGTAAGTACAGCAGGCAATGCAAAAAAGGGAGAGAAGCAAGAGAAGAAAACAAAAATGTGAGCTCGGATGGGAGAAGGACATATAAAGAGGAACATTAGAATAGAACCATCACTTTCAACTCTTTCCTTCTGTAAGATCCACAGCAGATAATCAGCTTATTGATATTTTGCACACTTTAACACTGGATGCTGTTGTTGCTGCAACCCTATCCATTTTTCTGGCCAAGGGGCTGATGCTGTGTAGGAATTATGGGAAACTTGGGGATTAAGTGTCTTGGCAAGAGATATTTATTATTATATTACACAACACCAGAAGTAAGAAAACAAGTAGAAAACAGGAATAGGGTGAAAATAAGGAAGGGCAACAAAGGAAAAGGAACGATTGTTTTGTGTGTGTGTGTGTTGCATGACAGTGGAGCCTGTTGGGTAAAAATGTGAAATTTAACACATGTAGAGAAGCTGGTGGTGCTCTTATTTTATTCAGCCTTAAGATCCTGATTGCTTGGATTATCTTATCTAATCATTTTTGTTAGCTGTAAATGGCTGTAAACCCTGTCTACATGATCTCGTCTTACTTGAAACTGATTAGCATATGTTTCCCAGCTGTTAGCTTTTGTGTCTAGCTGTTATCCTGGATCAAATGATCATCCTGCATTATTTCAGCTTGGTAAGCACTTCATGTTGAGCTGCGCTGTTCCTTTGAATTCAGTTTTCTTTTTTCCATTCTGTATAATGTTACATAACTAAGCATCTGTGTTGTCTGTTGTGCTTGTATCTTCTTTATCTTTTATACGTTTTAGCCATTTTGTTTTTCTTTTCTCTAAATATAATGTTGCATAGTTAAGACGTGATAGTGTGTAGTGTTATTTGAGCTACATTAGCCTCTGGTGTTTTCACTGTTGTTCTTATACTTTTCTATCCTGTCCAAATTAATATCCATGTTGAACCTGGTTTCATAGTTATTTATCTGTGCCTGGGTTTTAATCTGTTTACTGGTCTTACCTATCCAGGTTAGCTTTGGTCTTGTCTTAGCTTCTTACCTTTAATGTTATTACTATTATTCCATCCCAGTCAATAGGGAGGTATCTGATTACTGAGGCCAGCTGTAATGGTGCTGTATAGGGCACATTGCCTTCATAATACAATGATGTGTACATTATACTACACAGTATGCATCATTTCTCTTTTGTTACATAGTTGTCTCTAGCCCATACTGTATTACAGGTAACGCACATACATTTGTTTGTGGCCATAGCACTCGACACTTGTTGCACAGAAATTCTAGATGTTTGTACAAACCTGTAGAGAACTTATACAAATGTGGTTAAACTGTTTCACCCTTCAATCATTCTTGTTTAAAAAAAAAGATACAAAACCAGTCTTGGTGCTGTTTCCATGTGTAATTAAACAAAATTACCATAACAACTGCACATGGGAATCATTAATCCTTTACAAGCTCCGTCAGTCAGGTCAGTGTTTTTATGTAACACTGGTGTGTCCAGTACTTTGATCTGATTTACCTCTGTTATTAAAAACCATATATCAGGACAGGGAAGAGACAGAGTCGTTTACAACTTTTAAACTGAAACAAACCAGGAGACCAGGCACGTACTTGTTCCTAGAGAAAAGATACTGGTGGTGTGTGGACGCCTTGTCATTGTTGAGGCAGTTTGCAGCTCCCCATAGAGTGAGAGGGTAGTTTGAAGTTCAAGATTTAGTTTGCAATTATTTTGAAATTAGAACTGGAGTTAATTTAGTTTAGAGTGAGGAGAAGGATTGAGATTAGATGGGAATTATTAATAGTTCAGGTTAATGTAAGGGGCTAGGGCCTGCATTAGCTGAACCAGTATGTGTGTGTTTGTGTTGAAAGTGACAGTTAGTCACACAGTAATCAATACCTCGTCATTGGTCCCTTAGGGCTTCTGTGGTCATGTGATTAATTGAACAGCATTAAGTGAATCATTGCAGAATATGTTTATTTTAATGAACTATGGACACACATTTTTTTCACAGCTTTCACAGCTTTTAACATATTAGAAAACAGAACACACACGTCGGTTTTCACAGCTTTTAAATGGACACACGTCGGTTTTCACAGCTTTTAACATATTAGAAACAAGCTAAAATATTCCTTAGAAGTGTGGTGTGTGTACAGTAATTTATGCTAGAAAGTGTGGTGTGTGTACAGTAATTTATGTTATTGTGTTATAAGTTGTCATCATAAATGCATTCACTACAAAAGCAATAAATGTGATGATTTTAAGATGCTAAAAGTGAATCTTCCTCCTGAGCCGTTCCCACTCTCCTCTCAGCTGCCGTCAGGGTTGTTATTAGCTTTTATTAAATCCTTTGTGTCTTTATCCTGTAAAAGGCTAATACTGACATGCTAACATTAGCCAATTCTGATCAATTCAAAGACCCTTCGTGTCCTGGAAACAAAGCGAGATCAATATGTGGCCTCAGGCTGACACACACTCAAACATTCACACACATAGATTAACTGTGCTTTTAAAGGAGAGATTTTCTGCGTTAGTCCTCACACATGCACGTTTCTGTAGCACGGGGAAGGGCGAGCCAGCATTGATCTGTACACAGAGATGGAGAGGGGGTAAGTGATGGTCAGTCCCTCAGCCCAGTTGTGCTCGGTGTCTGGTGGTGGGTGGTTGACAGTTGCTTGGCGGGTTGTTGTTTTTCTACCTCATTTCCTTCCCCATCTTCACCTGGCAGGACTAAAACAGCATCAGAGAGTTAAGCAGGAAGGACATTGCACCCAGCATGATGAGTGCCACCCCAGCCAGGAAGCCGTACCGCAAGGCTCCTCCACAGCACCGGGAGACCCGTCATGCCATGCCTGTGCCACCGCCCCCACCTGCATCGCAGCAGCCAGACGTTAACCAGGTAAAGCAACACAAAGTAAACAGACATTTGTTTCAGCGTGTCCGCGTAACTCACAACCCTTGCGCTGATGAACGTCCGCGGAGTGCAGGCTCCCAACATGATTTCCTGCAGTCTTCACTTCCTTTATCAGGAAGCAATGTGAATATTTGTGAAAAGTCTAGTCTGGAGCTCTGCATTCCTTTGCGCTTCAGCAGCCAAACATGCCGACCTAACCGCACTAGAACCAAAGCAGTGGGTGTCACAGCGTCTGACAGTCATGCCATAAGCCCCTGCCATCTTTCAAGCCCTCACAGCCCTGCAAATTCTTCAAGTTCCTCTAGTCCACGACGAGCATTCAGTCCCCACCTCTCGGAGAACCATTCACCAGCACATCCTGTGCAACAGAAAAAGTTGGATTCGGCCGTAAGGACTTTGAATGGTAACCCTCCAAAGGGGATCTTGAAGCAGCCAACTTCGACTCCGGGTGTGGAAAAGACCTGTGATGTCATCAGGAATTCAAAATCAGTGGAACTGCTGGATAACAGCCGGACAAGGAGCTCCGCTAAGCACCGTGTGACATCTCACTCAGTGGAACGGACAGATCAGCAGGCCTCAGCAAGGCCACACTCTGCAGACGGGAACAGGAAAATGCAGTTTCTGGAGGAAAAGGTCCGATTCTCTAACTTTCTAGATGAGATCACCTGTCGCGTCCTGAGCCCCGTCCACCTCACGATGCTCGGTAGGTCACCCTCAAAAGAGTCAGGAAACCTCACCCACCTGGGCGAACCTCACTGTCAAAACCCAGCCCTCAGGAAGCCACAGACGGACCGGTCTCAGCGCTGGGATGACTGGGTGGCAGCACTGCAGCGACCTGGCAGCTTATGCCAGCCTCAGAAAGGGGAGTGGGAGGAAGAACGAAGTGACCACCAGGGGGAGAAAAGTCAAAAGATATTGGAGCTTAATTCTGGATTGAACTTGAATAATGAAGAAAACAGAATGTTTTCTTCCCCTCAGGGCCTGACGATCCACGTGAAGGTAGGTCGAGGGGGACAACTGTCCTCACTGATTACGTCCCCTCCTCATCCCTGCTCCCACTTACAGAACTTTTTAGAGTTTTCATAGATCTGGTACTTTTTCAGGTCCGTCCACACAGAGACTCCTGCAGGTGAAGCACTAAGTCGTCTCAGGACAGTGGTTGAATAAAAGCTGCCGGTCACAGGCCTTTGATTCCTACAAGCTTTTCTATCGATTAGCAATAACTGCTATGTCCTGAACAAATCACAGAGCTCCTCAGCCTGGGAGCAGAGCGGAGGCGTTCCATTGGCTCTTTAGTCGCAGAAACCAATAAATGAATTACCAACTTGTCACTCAAAATTATGGACATGCTGGGACATGGACTCGGATCAATGACACAGGAAATGTCCATTTGTCTCTGCATTGTCAATTTATTGACCTTTCCTTGATGTGTCACATGACAGTGTCATGATCAGTCGTCTCGCTGTCTAATGTCAAACTAATTTTCTTAAATGAACTTCAAAAAGAAAAGAGTCTTTTTTTTAATTTTTTAATTTATTGAAATCAAACATGTGTTAGGAAATTTTTTTATTTATTGAAATCAAACATGTGTTAGGAGGCGTAGGAAGTTCCCTGAGCAGCAGAATTTCCATTATACCAAGGTTTCCTAACCATCAGCTTTGTATTGATTGGTCCTAATGTGGTGTTTTCTTTTGCAGGAGGCCTTGTCTGACTCTGACAGGATCAGGTCGGTCTCAGTCGCTCAGTTAATTTAATGATCATGTTTAATTATAAATGAAATTAAGAGTCATGTGATCCAGGGCCAGCTCACGCTCTCTTTTTATGACACAGAATCCTGCAGCAGCAGAATGAGGACCTGCGTCGTCGCCTCTCTCTTTCCACACACAAAATGGAGTCCATGGAGGCAGAGTTTGACGGCAGCCGTCACTACATGGAGACGGAGCTTAGTCGGACCAGAGACGACCTGGACAAGATGAGGGACAAGTTCCGCAGGTGAATGCAGTGATCAGACTGGCAGCGTCCCTTCAACCATGACGCCGCTGTCATACATATTACAACTGAAATTTTGTTATGACTGAGTTTTGACATGGGCGACATTGAACAACAACAACGCTGCCAAAGTAAACCATGACGTGATAAAACCTAAAGAAGACCTGGCTATATGGTTTTATGTATCACATAAGACTGGACCAGTTAATCTAGTTATGGTTTGAATGAGTCATCAAATGGCTATAGGTTTAACATTTATTATTTATGATATAAATGTTTTTACCTACAATTTTAAGAACCAGTCTATGGTTTGGTGTTAATCCAACCAATCATTTTACCTACCTACCTATTGGCTGTAAATCGTTCTTAAATCAGCTAGAAGTCAACACTGGCTGTAATAATGTACAGTAACTGTAGCTCAGCTATGATTCAACCATGACTCTGCATCAAAGATTACAATACCTTCGGTCGCAGTCACTATGACTTTGCTAAAAATCCATGACAACTTTGACTCTGAGAGCGAGTGAGCAAGCATTCTAACAGTGTTTTTTTTCTCCCTCTCTCTCTCTCTCTCTCTCTCTCTCTCTCTCTCTCTCCCTCTCCTGTATTCAGACTCCAGAACAGCTACACAGCCTCGCAGAGAACCAACCAGGATCTGGAGGAGAAGCTCCACGCTCTGGTAAACACCAATGTGACCTCTCACCTTTACAGCAGTAGTGTCCAGGCTCAATGTTCCAGTTTCACACTCGGTGACACAGGAGTTTGTTATTTCTAATATTGTTACTGATTGATTACCGTAAGCCAATATAGCCATTTAAAGCCTGTCTACTTTGTAACCAAGCACCCCATTGGTCCAGGGATCGTGTGTGTGTGTGTGTGTCTGTGTTGTCTGTGTGTGGTTCATTGATCACAGTCAGCTTCTAACTAATCAATGTCCTAATGAAAACACTCTTACAGAGTGTATTGATTAACTGTGGAAAAGCATGTTTGACTGACAGCAACACGAATGCTGCCATAGGCAACATAGCAAAGGTCATGGGGTCAGAGTTGTGTGTAGTAAAACCACTGTATAAAAAGTCCTGTGTTGAATGTTGAGCTTTTTTGTCAAATGTCACAGCATTTATTGATCAGTGATTCTCAAGGACACACCAGCTTGTGTTAAAAAAAAAAAAATCAAACTTCCTGTTTGTCTGCGTCTCGTGTCGTCTGATGTCACTCTTCATCTTCTCTTCTTCTTCTAATGCTGCTCTCTGATGGACTGACTCATCTTCATCACCCGTTTCATCCCCCTCATCTTCATCAGGCCGCCGTCAGTCAGACATGGGTTCATGCAGTTGCGTTTAATTCATCTTCCTCCTCCCGTTTTCTCCTCCTCTGAACACTAAGTCCTGAGTCCAATCACAAGTCCGTCAATCTAAACATCCCATAATAAACATCCAACATATAAAAACTGTGAACAACAGGCCAATAATTAATGTCATTTTCTGATAACACAATATTTAATTCTGGATTTTGTTTTACAGAATCCAAAGAAACAGGACTTGGTGTTTGAACCTTTTTTTTGTTGATCTAAATTATAGAATCATAAAACCAAATAATTTAAATGTTTTTCATTTGCACCATTGCTTCTTTTTTCATTAATATTATTTAGCTTTAGCCCATAATGCTTTTCCAATGCGTTACAGTTTTGTTTTAGTACATTTTTATGCTAACGCTGTCTGTATTAGTGTGCGGTACATAAATAGAATACTGTAGAGTAGCACATAAATGTTTGTTTTTATTTAATCTATTTATTTTAATCTATCTATCTAATTGTTTTAATGGGATCTTCAAGATTTGTTCAGAATTCTAATTCTTGTAGCTTGTGCTGGACTTTCCTCTTCACAGACAAATTGATGAGATTAGTCCAGTTATGCTCATAATATTAGCATATAGTTTAAGCAAATATTACACACGTCTCAATATTCTTTGTCAGTCACTTTTTAGATGGGCTTCTTTTTACTTGGTTTTGCAGCAAAGTTCTGTTAGCATGTGTTTTGGCTCCACATTTCCAATAGATCTTCAAGTACCCCTTCAATGCTAACATTTTTTTTTTATACAAGTTTATGGTAGTAGCTCAGATGACTAGTATTAGTGATCAGCTTTTTCATGCTGAGTCTGTGTGAGCTTGCGTTAGCATGTCTGAGCACCTTATTTGCAAGTCACTAGTCTGTGTTAGCTTGCATTAGCATGTCTGAGCACCTTATTTGCAAACTAGTCGCTTGTTTGTTGTTTTTGTATTTTTGCTGTAAAGTCTTGAAGATATTTAATGTTGATCAGATCTTATTGGTTGACTCACAGCACAATGTATCACATCCAACAATGCACCTGTGATGTGCAGTGCTCAAAAGATCTGGTTTCGACTTTTTCTTTTATTATCATATTTAGTTCTGATTCTCAGAGTCAACCTATGTCTGACTGTGTCGATTTGACTAATTATTGGTTTGTCACATACAGCTGCGGAAGGTGGAGAGAGACAAAAAGATGATGGACCAGGAAATTGTGGCGCTTACCAACAAACTGCTGGACGCCAAGAACACCATTGACCGCTTGGAGGAGCTCAACGTGAGTGTGAACATTTAGGTTTCTGTGTTTTACATTTTGAATAAAAAATAATAGAGTTTGATTGGCCGCTGCTAACGGAAGGTGATTGTGTGTTACCTCAGGAGCGTTACCGTCAGGACTGTAACTTGGCTGTCCAGCTGCTCAAGTGCAACAAGTCTCATTTCAGGAACCACAAGTTTGCTGATGTAAGTTCTCACATCGTTGGCCAATGCTTTGGTCTGTGGTTAAATATTCTAAAAACACAGAACAAAGGAGTTTTCTTTTGACAGATCATTAATTATTCATCCTCACAGTTGCCCTCGGAGCTTCAGGACATGTTGAACAAACACATAAAGAGCAGCCTACCAGAGGGAGGCTCTGGCCCCAGTCCTCAGGACCCGGACACACTAAGTCTTACGCCTGCTGATGTTGTACCCACCTCTGTCATCGCACGAGTCCTGGAGAAACCTGAACCCCTGGTCTTGAACTCGGCCCAGTCTAGCAGCTGTGGCCGCCCTATAGCTGAGGACGTTTTTGTACACGTGGACATGACCATCCCACCATCTGCTGGGGCTGAGGGCCAGGAAAATGGCAGTTCTCAGGAAGCTTCACTGCAGAACGGTTCCTGTCGCCGTCAGAGCAGTCTAGACTTTCAGTCGTGCAGCGAGGAAGTCAGTGCCGCTCCATCCTTTGAGAAGCTGAATCCGTACCCAGCACCACCACCACCACATCCACTGTACCCCGGCCGCAAAGTAATTGAGTTCTCTTCTGACGACAAAGTGAAAATTCCCAAAAACTCGCCGCTGCCGAACTGCACATATGCCACAAGGCAGGCCATCTCCCTGAGCCTGGTCCAGAACGACGACGAGCGTGTGGCTCCTGCAAGCCCTGTTCCCTCATCCTCATCAGGGGGAGGGTGTGGAGGCCTCCAGCGCACACCCCCATATCAGCAAGATGTTGCCAGTGAACCTCTTTCAAGCCAGTCCAGCCCCTTCAGCAGTCCACCACAGGTAAACTGAAGCCCTGCTAATCAGGAGCTTTTTTTTGACTTTATATGAACATAAGGGTCATTAATCCCCATGTTTAGTTTGATTAGAGCTACGTAAACTGAAACATTGCATTGTTAATTGACATGTCCTATAATACAAGTCATTTACTTACAATATCAGTCTTTATGTTAAACTCATATTTTTTACTGGGTGGTGAACATACTCACATACTTTACTACTGTCAAAAACAAGTGTGTTAACTATGCAGGCCTATGCAAAAATACATTTGGCTGATTCATAGTAAAGTAATTTACTCTATTTAGTGGGATCTGTTCAGACTACCTACACTCCCCCTGCAGGCTCCCAGCATCCTGGCCAGTTCTGGCAGCTCAGAGGAGGACCTGCTCGCCAACTGGCAACGGATGTTTGTGGAGAAGATGGCACCAGCGTGTGATTCCTCTCTTATGCATCGTACATCATTCGGCAGTCACACTGTGCAGGATCTGCAGAGGCGGATTGGTGGAGGAGACTCCTCTAAACACCAGAGCACCGCATACTCTGACGGCGAGGAGGGATCGTCTGCAAGGAGCTGGACGCCCAGCCGCGGCTCTAGCCTCGACACCGACACGGACACTGAGGCCAGATCCAGCAGAAGGGGGTGCTATGGTGAAGATGGCGGTTCTATGGAGGAAGGAGTGAACCGGGAGGACGACGGGGACAGTGGGGACACGGCGGTCACTATTGCAACTAGCCCAGCTCATACAAGAAGGGAGGAATTTGAAGAGGAGGAAGAGGAAGAGAGCTCTGCTGAAGAAAGAGATATCCTCCCCCATGACCTGCCTGTCATCTCACCCCGCCTACTAGAGTTTGACCCCCACCCCTTACAGAGACCTCTGAAGAGTCCCAAGAGGATGGGCGTCCATCACCTGCACCGCAAAGACAGCCTGACTCGTGCTCCGGTTCAAGGCACATTGCTGGACTGACCCCGACCAGATACCTTCCCACACTGTCTCTCTGGTCACTGACCTGCCCATCAAGGCTCAGAAGCCACGCCCATCCAGGAAATAGCCATACTCTTTCTGTATGCTGCAGAGCTCACTACTACTACTACTACTACTACAACACACACACATACACACACGTTCTGTGTGCATTTAGGACTGGATTTTGACGGAACTTAGTAACGCAGACAAATGCACATATACTGCACATTTTTGTGCACACCCACTCTCAAACACACACATACACAGTGCCTACACTACTCTCTTTCTCTCTCTGGGAAAGGTTGCAGGTACAGCGCCACATCAGTGGAGCCTGCAGACACTCTGACTTTTTTTTTGGCTCCAAATCAACCACTGATTTCCTATCGTGGCACGTTGTGTAGTTTAGTCACCTGACCTTAGACCTTGACTGACACCACAACCACCTCTGACTGTACCTGCGGGGTGCAGGCCAGGACGGAGCTTATGCTCTGCGTTTATCTGGAATGTAACATCAACATTGTGATTGCTAGAGGTTCTATTTTGGTTAAAAACTTTACTGTTTTTTTGTTTTGTTTTTTGCTACAGAGGCATGTAAGCGTCCCAATCAGTAATCAATATATTTTCTTTAATTATACCGACGATGGATTTTTGGTCCAGATTCTCATTAATGTTAGCTCAGTGCAAATGCTTAATAGTCATCACATAAACGAGATTTTATTTTGAAAGTAAGCCTCCGTTTGCTGCTACTGTCCTGTTATTATATCATCACAGTTCTGATTGTGACTCACTGACTGTGATTGATTGATTAAGTATTGCTCCTGTTGATGTTTGTATTGAAGCTACAATCAGCTGAAGCGCAGTGTTGATCACAACCCTGGTTATTAGTCTTAAAACCTGACAGAACCACAGGTGCATGTTTGGATAAAAAAACAGAGCGCATGCTGGTACACAGTACATTAAAGACATATTACTGTACATACACTGTGCGACAGCACCCCCTACCTACTCGGAGGAAAAGTAATGGCTAAAAGCTTAGCTTTTGACCTAAACAAATTATTGGGTAAGGTTAAGCTAATGGTCAACAGACATCATCATCATTTGCAGTTGAATGCATCAAATTTTGTCACAGAATTGTTGGGGGGAAAAAAAATCAGAATTGCCCTTTACCTGGAAAATATTTGATTAACATTCTCATCTGTCTGACAGTCGGAGAGATACACAGGGCTAACGCTAACACTGAATTATTAACGTTATATTACTATGTAGTTAAATTTAATGACTCCTCTCCATGAATGTACAGCAGTTAGAATGTTGGCAAGGTCACAGTCAACAGTCTGTTTCACTGTTGGTTATGTGAGCAGAAGGCTGAACTTAGCTTACATTAGCTTAGCTCAGAGCTTTTTTCTTTTCCAAGTTTGTGTCCCAGCATGTTTGCGTGAAACAAATCCACTGTTAGTTCTGCATCCAGGCAACAGAGAATTTTTCACCCTGAAACTGTACTCTTAATGACAAAGTCTTAACATTAACATTATCTGCCGAGCTAAGCTGCTGCATTATGTGAACTAATGCTAACTTCATAGTCCAGCCACTATCCTAATTTGTGTTTAGTGACATTAGCAAAGGTGGAATTTCACGCTGCCTTTAAAAATCTCTCATCTGGCCTGACCTGAATTTCTAAAATTATGACACTAAAATCACTTTAAAAACACTTACTGATTTTCCCTTTAGCAAAAGTGGCTTTATCAATATTCACACTCATTTTTCTGTCTAACAAAAGTCAGAAAGGACTTAAAGGACCTAAAAAAGATGAATAATAATGTAAAGGAATGATGCAGCTGCCAAATTAATCGGTTTACTCTTAAACTAACTATTACAGAATTACATGAGCATAGCAACTTTGCTATACAATTGGCACAATGAACATAAGTGTTAATTCACAAACTCAAATCAAGAAAGAAAGAAATTCGTGTTTCCTGTAAATGTTTAAACTTTGACATTAGCGTCTAGCTTCTTTATTTAAAAAAATAGCATCTCATCTGTAAACGAAAACAGTTAAGGTTTACTCAGTGGTAGTTGAGAATTCAGTACAGGTTTGTTAATAAACAGCAGCTCTAGGAGCATAGGCTACTTGTTTAAGAGTATTTGTACAAAACAAAATGTTACCACTTTACAGCGAGAAAAAAAACTAACTCAGACGGGGTAATAACGTCCACCTTTTATTTTAAGCGGAACTATTCACAGTTTTAAAGAGCCTTTTTTTTCTGTTAGCATATCACACTAACATTGCTACAAATAACAAATGACACGACAATTTCGATATGAGAAGACAGCGAATTTCTCGTTAGCTGTCATTAAACTGCAAATAATGTCAACTAGAAAATTAAAACGGGCGTAAAACTTTTATATTTTATATTTAAGAAAAAATGAACAGGCCATATTAACTGTTAACTCAAGTTAACTGACACGTATAAACACACTTGTCATCATGCTTGGTTGTTAACGTTAGCCTAGCCGCTAATCAGATGAAATTTGAACCGAACTTTTTTGCCCGTTAGCTCCTCACTTTTGTTAGTTCGCCGTTACTCCCTTAAGAACGTGAACTCCGCTGAGGTTCCAATGGAGTACAGATTGTTTTCTACACAACTGAATGTTTAACCACACTTCTCCCACAGGTGCCGCTACTCACTCCAAGGTATGTCTGTTTTACTTCTTGTCGGGAATTAAAGACAAATGTAAAAAGAGTACTTTTAAACTTTATTTTCTGAATTTGTAACTGATGAATATTTTAAAAAATAAAATATTTTAAACGTAAACATGTCTGTGTTATGGTAGCTGCTGATCTGACTAAATGTAGGGGCAGGAGGCAGGTTTTTCTTTTAAAAAAAGCAAACAAAAACTTAGTAATGAGCACAATTATATTATTAAAAAAAAAGAAAAGAAAAAAGACTTAGTAATGAGCACAATTATATTATTATTATTTTCCTTAACTGATAACCATTTGTATCATTCAGTTCTTATTGTTCTTTTATTCTGTTGGTATCAAAAGCCAAACAGCACATAATTCTAACAGAAAGAGAAGTCAGATTATCCTTGCTGTAATGTAGCAGATATTTTTCAATTGGGAAAAAAAGTCAAGAATTTTTGTGTCCTCTTGTCACCTAGCAGCCAGCTTTGGCTGTGTGGCAGTTGTTAATATTGATGACATTATCAGTCTGAGGCATACACTGCTGCACTGTACCTGTGTGCTGTTGCTCAAAGTGATCCTTTTCTTCTAAATTATTCAAATCCATAAATGATGAATGAGTAATATTCATCAGTTGTGCATGTGTGTGGAGCAGTGCTGCATTCTGCTGGACAAACACTGCGGCAGCAGATTGTTTATAATCCACATTGATCAAGTGTTCATTTTGGAATCATTTTTTATTTAATCATGTAAAAACACTACAGTTTCAGGTTGGCAAAGAACTCGTCCAGGAGCGTCTCCAATTCGTCTTCGGCGTAGTCTCTGACCACAAAGAGGTCCCCGTCCTGCGCTCCCCTGATCATTGCTGACAGAACTGCACACAAATAAGAAGTAAGAGCCTTGCATCTTTATCTACTGGGTGTTTTCTTGTTATTAAGTTCCGATTATTGCTTACTTCATGTTATAATGTATCTGTTTAACTTGTTTTGGCGTCAGTACTACATTTTTATGAGCAGGATTTTCATAACTCTGCTCTCAGTACTCAGTTATTTTTAAGATTTCTTTTTTTCCATAACCAACAATATTTCTCACAATTCTGAAGGTCCTTCTTAAATACATTACATTATAATTGGGATATTATGTCTTAAAGTCACACTGAACAGAGATCCCCCAGTTCCAACATTTTAAACGGTAGTGACCTCACCTCTTCCTGACGAAGGCCTGAAAAGACACAAAGCTTTTTTCTTCATGTCGACGACTCGGCCTAGTTCGTAACCAACACCAAGGGATGGCTGTGTGACTTCTGCCACCACCACTGTTGTTATAGGAAGAAACACCACATTTGATTATTAAAGTGATCATCTGTGGCAAATAGTTGATGGATGCGAATTAATCAGTCATTAAATATTTGCGATGAATTATAACCTGACAAAAATCACAACCAAAGATCAACAATTACACAAATCAAAAGCTGACTATTAAGTCAAACACGAGTGATAAAGGATGAGAACAATTAGCAAGCACCAATAAAAGTCTAACGGCGATTGCTGCCTGAAAGAACAATCAGTTAAATACTGTACAGTTAAAATCATTAATATGTAATTCATTCATCATCAGTGATAACTGGTGTAACCTCAAGAATCAACATTCTGCAAATAAACAATGGCATGTAATTAGTGTTAAAAATTGATAATCGATAATATATTGTTAACAATTATCCATACGAACCATCTGATTGTCTCAACCAGTCCACGTCTCGGTCATGAATGAACTTCGGTCCTGCTGCAAGGGCACCCTCACCTGGCCAATCAGAGCAGTCAGCACAAAGCCACAATTACTCAGTGACATCGTGACATTACTAAGTAAGGTATTAGTATTACATAATATGGCAAGCCATTTTAATTTATAACTCAAATGACTATTGACTAAAGACTAAGCACTATCCAAAATGAAATTCCGCCCAGCCGGAAAGACGTTGTTGATATCAACAACGTTACTTCCGGCTTGCCATATACAACTGACCTTTGTCTGAGAGCGCTGAGCTGCTCACGTGCTCTGTCAAAACGGTCCCAAAGTTCTTCAGCTTCTCCACGATTCTGCCGTAAAGCAGAACGTCGTCTCTTCCACCGCAGATGCTGCCGCAGAAATACACTTTCATCCTGGTCCCACCGATCTGGATGTTTTATTCTACCCGTTTCTTTATCAGTTCCGTTTATTCCTGACGTTAAGGATTCAAGCCGTTCCCCTCTGTTTTTTCTTTCTTTTCTTTTCCCGCTTTGCGCTATAGTCACGTGGGTTTTGTCTGTTTAGGATTCTGATTGGTCTATGCAGAAGGCAGAAACGATCTGGGGGTTGGACTCAAGAAACGGACTTTGCCCTTGTCATTTTCTGGTAAGAAATGTTATATTAATAATTGAAAAAAATATTTATATCAATGTTTACTTCGCTGTATTCGGGTCGTTGGGATTTTAAACAGGAAAAATAATATTTTAAAACAATTAGTGGACATTTTAAGAAATACATTGTAATATCATGCTTTAAAGGTCAGTTGTTCACTACTACAACAGGCAGTAAAGAGAATCAGAGATCAAGAGAATCAGAGATCAAAAGAACGAAAAGTAATACGATTGATTGAATGAGTAATTAAGTAAATAATGATCGCAGTATAATACCATACCAATA